TTTATTTTCTTTTCTGTTTTTTTTTTTGTTGTACTTCCTTCCTTTTCTTCCTTTTCTTTACCGGTTTTCTTTTTTTTTCTTTTTTTATTTCGACACTTAACAGCAAGGCAAAAAGGTACGAATTTCAGTTAAATTTCAATTCGTTTTAATCATTTCGTTATATTCTCTTTCTTTTATTTTTCTATTTTCTTTTTCTAACGCGAGAACGTTAAATTGTAATAAATCTTTTATCCTATTCACAACGTACGTACGTATCAGCATACGAAAATCATCATTTATTGTACTTTTTATTTTTGTGTTTTGTTTCATTGGACATTAAGTATCGTAATAAAATATCAAAGTTATAGAAAGAGAAAGAGAGACAGACAGAGAGAGAGAGAGAGAGAGAGAGAATACAACGTATTCATTTATCTAAACGTTGGTGTAACGTTTGCAAGAAGAAATTCAAGTTAAAACCCGAGCCAAGTTTTTATGAGCCAAGGTAAAAAAAAGAAAATTCAATAAAGGTACGCGACATGAAATATGCTGAAATAGAGTAGTACTTCTCGCGCTATATATATATATACGTACGTCATACAGATATAGTATATATATACATATATAAGTACCATACATACATACGTACAGACATAGAACTCTGAAATCAGTTGGAGATCGACAGTACATAGGATAGGCCGAACATTTTGTAATCAGATCGATCGATCGACAAGGTGCCGCTCAACCGGAGTATAGGTTGTGAGCTTCGCGTCCAGCACAATCATCATTATCGTCCTATCGTGCATTATGCGGGTCTGCTTGTAACGATGCTTCCCACCGTAATAGGACGCGTAGCCTTATGCGTTAGGTGACCACTTTGTGTGATGTGACGGCTTTATAAGTACGTATGTACCGTTCCCTACGTATTGCACATAAATTTATGTGCCTTAACATAAACGAACATCACACTGGATATACCTATTCCCTATATATATATATATATATATATAATACGTTTGAACTTTCCTACCCCATGATCTATCAGGGAACATTATTAATATATAAAAATTATACCGATATTATATGTTTCTACTTTTATATTTATTTTAAAATGTGTTAGTATATTCTTTTTTTTCTATTTATATAATTTTTCTACGAATAAATTGACCAACTTTTCAGTGGGTTTATTTATAAGTTAATGAAAATTATAATTCGATAGTAAGATAATAATAATAATAATTTGATATTTAAGTAATYAAATATGACAATGATAAATTGGATAATATTATTTTCTTTTATATATATACACACACACACACACACATGGTTATTTTATTCTTGGATATTTGAACATTCTAAAATAATATACTTTGTAGGAAGATATTCTATTCTTTACTAAACACACGTAGGCGTAGGATATCCCGTTATTGAGTATCGATGCATCCTAGAAATATAACATACTTGTCCGTGTTTATTTACGTTTATTTACGTAACCATAGTCTACGCTGTGCTGCGGTACGTATCTCGTGTTTATGAACAGGAACATTATCGAGAACTATTGAAGGACGTCAGAGTAGAAAACGAAACGTATGATCAGTGTGTTTTTAACAGCCTTGAGAAGAACATCGCATAAACGAAACACTAAGCATAACGTCGTATTATTTTACTGATATTGAAACGTTATTAATTTTTTCTTTTCTTTTATTGTCCCACATAGTCGTAGTATTAGTTTATTATTAAGGTAAAATTATATTTCAATGATAGATTATTATTATTATTATTATTATACGATTGAAATAATGATAGAGAAAATGTTTAATTAATAATATTATACTGTTACGTTACGAAAGATAAATCATTAGTGAAACAAGTATGATTAAATATCGACTCTTACTACTTAAAACTTACAATATACTTGTTTCAGTTCCAGATAAAAAACAAGAGCCCGAGACTAAACAATTTGTTGGATTGGTCATTGGAATCTTGACAACGGTTATCATAATGCTTTTAGCAGCCATTATGTTTATATTCTATCGGAACCGTAGACTCAAAGCAGCACTAGCACCTTCAACTTTTTACGATCAACAGGCCGATCTAAAGGTAAACTAATTTTAATGAACAAACAATTTTTTCTAACGTAGATAATATAATAATTACTTGAAATATCTCTTAATATATATATATAAAAGGAGGATAAAGAACAAAGTGATTTTTTTTTTTAATTATTATTATCGACATCGTAATAATCATTATCATATTGTTGCGAGATAACGACAAAAGTGAATATCTACTTTGATAACTTTGTCGGAGTAAATGCGTTTGCTTGTGTCTTTGGGAATCGAGAGTAGGAGCTGCTGAGAAAGTTTGTTCAGGATGTGCACACAAATAGAGAATGGCGACTGGGAATATTACTCTTGAAATACTTTTCCTGAACGGGCCGTTATCACGTTCCAATATCTTGCAATGAACAAACGGTAAACTAAAGTTCTATACTGAATCGATATCGTTTTGATCTGGTAAAGAGTAAATGAATGAATGAAAACTATATCCACTGTACCTATCTATATTTTTATCGATGAAAGCTGCTAAAGAAAATAAGTTTCTCAAACTTTTGCAACAACAACAACAACAACAACGATAAAACAAAACGAACAAAATAAAAAATAATATAATAAAAAGGAATACAAATGAAATGAATACGAAAAATTGGTATATATATATTTTTTACTTTTGTTATTAAGATAATCTTACATTTAATTAATGAAATTTAATTAATAACGAAGATGGATAAAAAGAAATATAAGAATCCTTTCTTTCTTTCTCTATCTCATCTTATCATTTTGTTTTCTTTTTTTTTTTTTTTTTTTTTTTTTTTTTTTTTNTTTCATTATCATTATTTTTCGTAGAAATGTGAAACGTTAAAAATTCGAAATTAAATCTTTGAACGTAGCGTGTATTTTCTTTTTATTTCTTCAACCGCAAAACTCAAACCACCACGCATATCCATATTGTAAATTCGTTTCCAACTTTAACCCTCTCAACGAGAGAGAATTATTAAAGACATGTCCGTTTTCATTTCAGTTACACTTTAACGTCTAAATTTCCTACGTGTTGTGTATATACGTGTTTACGTACGTATGTTTACAATGTGTGTTTGAAAAGAAAAAAAAGAAAAAATAATATATAAGAAAAAAATAATCAAACCCGATGGTGAGATGAGATTTTGTTGAACTTAAGAAAAATATGGAGAAAAACATTTTTCTAACATCGGTGAAATAATTACAAACGAAATTACAAAGAAAATTAGAAACATATTCGTAATACATTGATTAATATATTATTTTATTGTAATCTATGTATAACAAAATATATTAAAACTTGTATTATATACAAAATCAACGATATTTAAATTATATATAATTCATATTTTACATGTTACAAATATAATATTGAAATATTAATGAATATATAATCAAACGATATTTGAATATTATTAATAATTGTATAATTATTAATGAAAAATATTTCAATGAATATTTCGTATATGTAAATTAATTATATTTCGTTAGAATTTGTTTTCTTTTTTATGAACGATAAAGGAGTCCCATTATTTTTCTGTTAAAAAACTTTTCGATCGTTGTTGTTCGAGTTAACGCGCTTGATCGAGCCATCAAGGACGAAATGATCGGCCATAAGAGGTCAGGAAGTCAAAACAGGACTTTAGATAGCTTTAACGAGAAAAGAGGAACGTGTAGATAAGTACATAAGGGACCAACCAACCAACCAACTAACCAACCAACCAACCAACCAACCAACCAGGAGTTGCTTCTATGCGAGTATAAGGATACTGGTATACGAGTACAAAGAGGAAGAAGAAAAATCGACGTTGAAGTTAGGGGTTGGTGGGGTGGCAGGGGAGGGGTGGAGGAAAGAGTGGTTGTAGAAATGTTCGAACGAAAACGAAGAGAGAGAGAGAGAGAGAGAGAGAGAGAGAGAAAAAAAAAGAAAATGAAAATGTACTGGGGCTAGGATGAGAAACACAAAAATAGGTAGAGAGAGAGAGAGAGAGAGAGAGACTCGCATAGAATCCCAATGGCTAAGTGGTTATCTTATCTTAACGGTGTGCTGTGGCATCTCACACTGGCTGATTCCTTCGACGCTCCTTCTAAAACGGAAATTAACAACCCCTAGACTCTTCTACCCTTCGGCAAGGCTTCTGCTGTTGCTGCTGCTTCTGACGGTCCTTGCCTAAGGCCTAACTTTAAAGTACCATTTCACACACACACAAGATCAATGGATATTACCTTGTGAATATCATGAACACGCTAATAGGTAACAACACTGTAAACGTTATACCAAAATTTAGATCTTGCTAATATTTGAGAAAGAGAGTGAAAGAGATAGAAAATGTTATTTCGTTATTATTATCTTTTTTTTTTTTTTTTTAAATAATTAATCTATCTTTTAAGTTTATATATTACATATATATATATATATATAACATCGTTAAACGTATATTTAATCGAATTTATTTATTTACAATAAAAATATCTCGTGTAATATCAAAGAAACATCACCGACTGATAATTATAAAAGACACCAGACCCATTGTCAAGGATCATTAATGTATGGGAAATATCTTTTGACATCTCTGTAGTCAATAGCAATTCGAGCGAAAAGAAAATTTAAAAAAAAAAAAAAAAGGAATAAGAAAAAAAGCAAGCAAATAACGAGAACACGAGATACGAGGAAACTAATTAGCCGTACATCCACCTCTCGTCAATCCAACCCTTGGAGATTATTCGTTGTAATAAAACAGCTAATTTCCTGAGTCCTCTTTTTTTCTACTCCTTCTTTTTTTATTTTGTTGTTGTTGTGTTGTTCCTGTTGCTGTTGTTCTTGTTGTTCTTGTTGTTTTAGTATGTTCTTATTTTTTTTTTTTTCCAAGCTCGTGCGATCGTTAAAAGACAAGGAGAAAGGATAAGGAAAAAGTGACGCGAGATATGGGAGGCTTTATGGTTGGATCGTTTGTTCGTTCGTTCATACGTTCGTTCATATGTTCGTTCGTTCATAGGTTCGTTGGTTCATAGGTTCGTTCGTACGTTCATTCGCCTTTTGTTTTACGTTCGCGTTTAGAAACAACAGGGCTGCTGTATGCATCAGCATGACGAATCTCGCTAATGGAAAGAGAATGCTTTGAAGTATATAATCTCTTCTTGATAACGCTATAGTTAAAGTGTCTTTACATGGTAAAATATCTTTACCTACCTTTCTACTTATCATTCTTGTCGAAAGGTTGAAGGATAAACGAAAACCTCAAAAGAGAAAAAGAAAAGAAAAAAAAAAGAAATACATAAAAAGAAAAAAAGGGCAAAGACAAGTTTTTCGAACGACTTCCCTTTTCCTTTTCCCTTACTACCTTTTACTATTTTCTTTTTTTCTCCAACCCCTATTCCGACTTTTAACTGCTAATCGTTCTTGATTATATTCCTCCCTCTTCTCTCTCATACCTTTTCGTGTGTTGTGTATGTGTCTGTTTCCTTTTTGAAATTTTTTCCCTTCTTTTTCTCTATTTTCTTTCTTTCTTTCTTTTTTCTTTTTTCTTTTATGCTTCTTTTTCTCTTTTTTATATTCTTTTTTACTCTTTTACTTCATTCGCGTGGTAATAAAGGTCACACACACAGGATACGTGGAAGAGAGAAGAGATGGAAGAAAAAAGAAGATTCACAGACAGAGCAAAAAAGAAAACAAAAAAAACAAGGAAAGGGGAGAAAATAAAATTAAAAAAACAAAAAAAAAAACAAAAAAAAAGAAAAAACAAGAAAATAACCGGTTTAAATTAATATTCCCGCGGAAGCGGCAACGGGGGTCGCTTTATCGGTCGTTTATTCATTATAAGCGCGTAACGAAGAGACCACCCCCCCCTACCCCTTACCCCTCTCTTGATCATCGGTTACCGATATTTCTGCAAAGTAATATCCCATGTTTGTATCCCTTTTTTTTGTACGCCGATATAATTCCTTCGCTTCCTGTTTTAAGGGGAAAAATAACAAAAAAATAAAATATTCGATCGGTTTTATATTTTATCTAATATTTATACAGTAGGATTTCTCCCCTCTCCTCTCCTTTTTCCCCACCCACAAGAGACATAATACGAGTTAATACGAATTCAAAGTATGCAAACAAAAAAAAATAAAAACTAAATTAATAATTCATTGTAATGTAATTTTTTTTTACAAAGAGATGTAAACTTCATTCATCAGACTCAAACCTTTCCAGAATTTGTTGATATATATTTTTGATATATTTCATAGCAATGAAACAATTTTAAGTCATTATTAAAAAAAAAAAAAAAGAAGATTCTACCGTAAACACATCCCCAACAACCTCATCCTGTTCTTTTCCTTTCTTTTTAAGGATGTATCTTTTACTTTATGATTTTTTCTTTTTTTTTTTTTCCACCTCCCCCAGTTTATTTTCTCTGTCTGTTTTTCCTGTCGTTGTTTGCTTTATTTCGATTATTTTATTTTATTTTTTTTTTTTTATTTTGTTCAAAAGATATATATATATATATATATATGTACACGAAACAAAACCGTTTATCGGGTGACACGCGATATAACGCGACGCGACCTACATCAGCCACAAATGGAAACGTTTTTATTATAAATGGGCCAGTGAAGTGAGCTAGAGTAGGGAATAGCGGAGATTAGCGGAGAGTTTTACGTTCGAATACATGACACGCAGCTGTAGTATTCATCTCTCTCTCTCTCTCTCTTTCTCTCTCTTTCGCATGAACTCATATGAACATACAAGCGCAAACTATATATACATCTCTGTCTCTGTCTCTCTCTCTCTCTCTCTCTCTTTTTCTGTTCGTTCTTTCTCTTCGATTGACCCAATAAATACGGGCGGATGGATTTGTACGAAACGACACGAACGAAAGTTAGTATAAAGCGAATGAACGGATAAATCTTACCTTGGGATTTTTTTACGGCTATTAATATTTGCACCCAAATTTTGTTCAAATACATTGGAAAAAAAAAGAACAAAAGAAGAAAAATAATAAATATAGTATCAAGTAGTCGATAATAATATATAAAAATAACAAACTTTCGTCTATTTACCTAAAATATCAGACAATAATGCAATATATAGTAATAAACAATAATTTTATTCTATACAGTATAATTTATTATAGTATAATAATAAAAAAATAATAATATAAATACAACGTATAATATTCTATTTTTTTTACTCTTCCAGATATTGTCAAACATTGACACATTTAATGAACGTATCATGACAATTGTAATTTTTCTTCTTGTCTTTTCTTCCAAAATTAGTATCTTATACGTCGGGTCATGAATCTATACGCGTTTTACGTATGTACGAATCTTGCATAAAACATTATGTCTCTTATTCTGGCATGCATAAATGTAAAATCATAACAAGCCCGTAAAAAAGAAATTCAAAAGGGAAAAAGAAAGAAAGACAAAAAAAAAAAAAAGAATTATATGTATATACGGGAATGAGGTCGGTAACGTCGTTGTATTCTGAACGTCGGTGTATTTCTAACGACGTTTAATGAAAATTTGACAAAAGGTAAACGTAAAACGTTGTACCCGATGTTACAATTCATATAAACGTTATTACACACGTATAACTTCGAACGAAATAAATATTTCAAAATTATTATTAAGGATCGTTATGATAATAATTATTTAAACGTATCGATTTGTTTGAAAATTTCAAATTTGTTAGCTAACGATATATAACATAGATTTCAACGTTTAATCGGTCATATCGAAATGAAAAGTTTAAATATTCGACAACACGGACGTCGGCTATTTTACGCGATTTTAGTGAATGATTACCAGTACCGGTCAGACAGCAGGAACACTTAATCCAAACGCTAATCAGTCAGACGGTTTTGGCGTTAAGTAATTACAGATACTCGTGACAAATATCACGATAAATTCAATCTCATTTATCGAAACTAATTGAAATTCATTTATGTATTCCTCCGATCATCCCTTTTTATCCAATTTTAATTAATATATTTATTTCTGTTATAATTGTCCCCCAACCCACCCCCACTTTGATACATTTTTGTTCGTTGAACTCGTACACGGGGAACGAACAATACGAACACAACATTTCTTTCTTCTTTCGATATTACACAAAATAATATCACTCGTATACACGAGTCACGTTACTTAATGTTTCATAGAATGTTATTTCAAATTTAATATTCAAATATTTTCATGCACAAAATGCACGTACACAACATACAATATCCATGCTTTGTAACAACGCATACATTTATTAAATTTCATTCATTAATTCAAATTATTTCTATCTTGAAATAAAACATGAAAAAAAGGGAAGAAGAAGATAAATAAAATGGAAGAAAAAATAAATCTGATAGATTTAAAAATGATAAATAAATAATGTTTACGAGGTAAGGTAACCACAAAGTGATTCGATTTAACTGAACAACAATTTGATCAACAGTATGATAAAATCATTTCGAATGAACGACGAAGAAAAAAGAGAGATACAAAAAAAAAGAAAAACAGTGATAGAGTGAAAAAGAAAGTGTGTGCATCGAAAGGTAATCTTAACGAATACGTTCTTTAACAATATACGTATACATATACACATATACATATATATATATATGTATATCGATTATCGAAACGAATATCGATAAATAATAATACTCTACTCGATGCCACGAAATATTGCTCTCTTCCTTCCACCACCTCTCACTCTAACTATCACTCTCTCTCTCTCTCTCTCTTCGTCGTGATGAATTTAATCCGGAGATGAATCGATAACGCAACTTCGAGCCCGCAGAGTGAGAGGAACGAACGTCGTTCGGATGTACAATATCCATGGGTCGATATAACGGCGTGTGAGAGAGTTGGTCCTAGAATCGTCTCTCTGTTTCCGTTTCATCGGCTATGAATATTCTGCGAGAAATAGAAAGAGAAAGAGTTAGAGAGAGAGATAGAGAGAAATGGAATGAGTGAGAACGAGTGAGTGAGAATGAATATGAGTACGACTATATATGAATACTAGTATGAGTAAGTGTATGAATACGAGGAATAGTTTCTAGCAGAGAGCGTATCGCTTTTAACCCTAGCTCTCAATATATACTACATGCTAGATGTGTGTGCATAAATGTCAGATGCATTAACGATAACGCTTGATATTCGACCGCAGGTTTCGGTACAGGAAGAGAGCGAGGACAAGGGACCAATTTGCCCCCCTCTACCAGCCCAATACCATCCTTCTACCTATAACACGACAACACAGCTTCACGAGACCATCGCCAATTATACAGGTTAGTGTCAAAGTTCACTATGCTCAAACCTTTCGATACACTATCCCAACAAAGGTCCTATATATTCGAAGTAATGTTCTTTAGAGTGCAATCCCATGTCATTTTGATCATCCATAAGAGTATTTTCGATCGTTTCTAATATTCCTTATACTTATCTAAACGTTATATTATCGCATTTTCGAATATTCTATTAAAGAAGATGATCATTTGGAATGTATTTGTAATATTGTAATCGATTAAATGATATTCAATTTAATAATAGTTATGAAACGTGTAATATTTAAGGAAAATAAATTCGAGAAACTTTTAGGATCATTGAATAATTTAGAATTGTTTAAATGATTAGGTAATAATATTTTGATCATTTTTTAATCGTTAACAAATTTATTATTTAAAATTATATTATTGTAATAAAAAAAAATATATATTATATTATTATAATTAAAATTATATTTATTTTTTAATAAAATAATAGATATATACTGACAATTCGAAAAGAAAAATATTAGGATAGACAATTTCTCGTTTCGTCGGGATAAAAAGAGAAAGAAAGTCTTTTCGAAACTGCTTTTGATTTTCTCTACTCGGTAGATCGACTCTCTCGTGGTTCGCTTCATCGACGATATTCGATAGTTTCGTCCCGCTATATTTCCAAAACTCAACGAGAGAGAAAGAGAGAGAGAGAGAGAGAGAAAGAGAGATTTCGTGGTGAATTGCTGGGCCACTGTATTCGAATGACACAATTTCGATCATCCTCCTAACTATTTCGTTTTGCACGAAATGGCGTTTTCCCTTTTTCCGTACATTTCGAAACGCACGAGAGTTAGGTGTATGTGTGTGTGTGTGTGGACTCTCTCTCTTTCCACTCTCTTCACCTTACTCGAAAACAACATTTTTATATTTCATATACGAGAATATACGAAAGAAGAGAAATACTTAAGTTGGAAACTTTGAAAATTTACTTTCCAAACTGTTCGTGATTTCATCTCCTTCTACCATTTTCCTCTGTATATAACCTCGTTTTTTTTTTTTTATCTTTTATCTTTTTTCTTTTTTGATAAATAGATTTCGATTTAAAGTATAACGGAAAGGTTCCAAAGTCGGATATAAAAAATGAGTTTGTCGTACCATATTCCAAGTATATATTTTTATCAAATTCGATAAATAAGGAAATAAAACATAAGTACCTATTTCATATATATGTATATATATATATATATATATATATATATATATAAAATATTTTGTAAAATTTCGAAGAAATATAAAATCCATTTGATAAGCCACATTACAACTACAATTGTACAACTTGATGATAAACCAGAAAATACTATAGAAATTCTTGTTCGCAAATTTTTTAAAACCATTCTTCACATTCACGAATAAACATCTACCTAGCATTTTAATGTCCTATTATTATCGTCAAATTATTGTCCAGGTGTGAGCGAGGTGCAACCAGTGTTACTGAACACGCCGATCGAACTTGCCAGGCCAATCCCAACGGTTCAAGAATATCCAACCAATAATCCACCGCCTATACCACCACCACCGGAAAAATATTATGCCAGTACAGAGATCTGTAAGGTGAGCTTTTATAAGAAAAAAAAAAGAAAAAGAAGAAGAAAAAAAGAACTAACGTTAGACACGCGATCGACACGATCGTACTAGTATTACTTTAGGTGCATTAAATACGACCACTCGAGTAAGAAGCAAACCCCGTCTGCTTCAAGTTAGAATACAAGAGGTGGAGTTTCGTGCAAAGCTACGCTTTTGAGAAGTTTGCGATATCGGAGCGTAAGGATCGTTCTCACGACGTTAATCTCGCCACGCTTTTATTCCTTATTTTGATACATTAGAATTTCTCTGTCGTATATATATATATATATATATATATAACCTATCTTTTACTTTACCGCGTATAAAACGAAAGAGGGGAATAAAACTCTTACATGATATATAAAGTAAGTATATAATATATATATACGTAACTATCTCAACTTAAAAACTTTCTTATCCCTTATTTTATTTTTCTTCTTCTTTTTTTTTTTTAGAGAGAGAAGGGTTCTCTTCGTTGATGAGTACGGATTAAAAAGAAAAGTTTATTTTTTCTTTTTTTTTTTTTCTGTTCCTGACAAAAATAAAATATACGATGATATTTGAACGAATTGATATTTTATCATTTAATTTTGAGTTCGTGACGCTTACGACACTCCACCAATTTTCATCCCACCAGTGATATCTATCTCGTTGATCAAATAAAACCATTCTGTTATCTATAGGTAGATTTATTTCATTATCTTTTTTTTTTTTGGTTGGAAAAGTTTGATTCATCAAATTGAGGAGAAAAATAGAAAAAGAAAATATTTACTTAAACGTAACACAGGTTAAAAATATATTATATATTGGTGTACAATTGAATTAGAATACATTTATGTTTGTTGGTTGTTCGAATCGTTTCTAGGTTCATTGGTGATCTGATTTTCATTGATATTGCAGAGTCCTTTACCACCTTTACCACCATCACCGACACCAAGTACAACAGCAGCCATGAGTGCAAAAGCGTCAAGTAGCCTGACGAGTTACAGTGCTGAGGACACACTTACCGAGGAAGAGGATGATACAGCTGAGTGCATCCTGGACTTCCCACGGGAAAAGCTCAACATCGTTGAGAATCTCGGATGTGGATATTTCGGTGACGTACATCTTTGCGAGGTCGACAGGTTTCCTGGATACGATGACGTCTTCAGGAACACAGACAGCGATCAAGTCGTCGTTAAATCTTTGAAGCCAGGATCCTCGAATGCTCTTAAGTAAGTCGTCATATATATATATATATGTGTGTGTATTTGTGTGTATGTGTGTGTGTGTGTCATAGTAGTAGGAGTTCTTTTGAACACTAACATAAGTATCTCTAAGATTTTATACTCTCTTATCTTTCTATCATCAATTTTATATTTCTTTTTTATTTCAAATAAAATTAATTCTCGTTAAGCTAATACTTCGGATTATTGCATTAGTTTTATAAGTAAAATTATTATTAAAAATAGATTCGTATTGTTAACAAAAAATTCGTATTTTAATACTACATTAGTTTCTATCATTGGTAAATGATATTTCGTTCAAAATTATTCAAAATACTAATAATAATAATAAAAAAAAAAAAATTAATCAATATCTCTCGATGAGTTAATGAAACAACATATTTATTTAAAATTTATAATAAAAAAGAAAAAAGAAATCGTATAAAATCTTGATGAATATGATTAATATTATTCAATACTAAATATCGTAATAAAAAATTTCATTAACGAATTGAAATCCTATTGACTATAGTAGAATTCGTACACTATGACCAGATCGGAAACGAAGCGGAAAGTACATTTCGTTGGAAAATCAACGACGCGTTATCGTCGATGTAGAAAGGATCAGGAATCGAGTAGTCGTACGTCGAAGCGAGCTTTTATCAGCCACGAAACGTTTTATCGTTCACAGAGCAAGGCTACAAGACTAGCTAGCAGCACAGGGTTAGTAGGGGTGGGTTATAGGGGTTGAACGGTTAGACTGAACGCGACGTTCGTTCGTTCGTTCGTTCGTTCGTTCGTTCGTTCGTTCGTTCGTTCGTTCGTTCGTTCGTTCGTTCGTTCGTTCATTTTATTTTTTCGCACGACATAGTTTCATCCGGGAAACGATTCGATGAAAGGAAAAAGAAACAGACAGAACGGATAGAGAAAAGTAAAGGGGAATGAGAGAAAAAGAGAAAGGTATATAGGAAAGAATAGAAAGTAAAGATAAAAACGCAAATGAATGTTCAACCCTGATCAAAAAAAAGAAAAAGAGAAAAAATACGACTAAAGATATACATTTTTTTTTTTTTTCAACTATCCGACTATACCCACCAAGACTGACCATAATCATCATCAGTATCATCATCATCATCATCATCCACGTCATCGATGTCGTCATCGTCGTAGTCTCTCGTAACGGTCCAACAAATTTTTCTATATTACGAGCCAATGCATTCTCGATTTGCTTTATTATATTCCATCGTTCGACTGTACGATTGTGAGAAAGGAATAGTAAAAATAAAAAACTATGGGAATGGTGGGAAAAAAAAGGAAAAAGGAGATGCAGATTTCAGAGGTTGGGGTGAAAAATTCTTTTAACTCCGAACGCTTTCGATGAAATTTTCTATAATCATTTTTGACGATCTATTACCCCTTCTATCTATCTCTCTTCACCTTCCTTTTTTTTCCTTTTACTCGTCCAAATTAAAGATAAAATGGGACTGGTGAGGCGGGGAGGGATGACGATAATAAAATCATTCGTACGAGTATGATCGATCTATCTATCGTTCGATCGATTTGAATTTAATTTGGTAGAGCGCTATAATTACGCATTTTAGTTGATTAACCACGCACCTAGATGGAATTTCATGGATGCTTCTTGTCTGGGAGCGTATAGAACGTTTGAACGGTATGTCATAAACTACAAGAGCACCACGATTATTGTACCTATGCACGGATGCGTAGTATAACTCGACGCCATTCCACGTATTCCTCGTATAACCGCGAAACAGCTTATGCTCGTCTTCCCATCCCTTCCCTTTAGTCCGTCTTAAACCCTAAATGCAACCCTTTACCCAATTCTATCATTTATTATAACGATATTATAATAGAAACGTTTTACTTGAATTACATTTTTCTTTTTCAACATTTTTCACGTAGCTACATATTTTATTTAATTGTCCTTATTGTTAGTTAAGTTGAATTTTATTAATTTTGAATATATAAATAATTTGAATAATTAGAAAATTATTTAGTTTTTTTGTCACATTATCAAAGAGTCAATTAATTATGGGAAAGTTTAGTAATTGAAATGGGTTATCTATTTGAAAAAAAAAAGATATAATTAAAATTGTATTGTTGGGGCTTAAATTCCTCGATTAAGAGTCTTCTGGTAATTTCTTATGTGCTATGATGTAAAGAATAAAGGGTTAAACTCAGGTATTAAAATAAAACACGTGGTTGAGCCAATCAACGATGCGATGCTTTATTGGCTCGATACTCGTTACGTGTAATTGACATTAAGGTGTTAGTCACATGGAGACGGGTTTGGTTTGGGACGTCGACGCAGTCCCCTCCTTCGCGAGGGCCGTGCTCTCCTGTTTCGTAGTCTTACGTTAGTTATCGTCCACGTGTAGTGACGTATGATGGGGCCGTCTACAGATTTGACAATACGATGACTTGCATGGTTCTCGGTGTTTCCGTAAGCAATTTTTACATAGTATGTGACGTTCGACCGTCGTTAGTCTTTCTAATGTCGTCATGCTATTGTACTGGGGACAGCGGTATAAAGGATGGTCAGCTCGTCTACAAAGAATACAATTAGCTACTTTACGGGTAAGAAACGTACGCGTTGAACGTGTGTCCTGTCGCTTTCGCGATCGTAATGTCATCGTCTCGGGATATCCACGTTTTGCGCGGGGCTCGAGGGTCGCAGGCGTTGGTGGAGTTTGCAATAGAGCATACGAACGCGACAATCTGGTTAAAAAACCAAAAAATTGCTCAATTGTCGGATATTTGTTGGAATCTATCTGTTTGTTCCATTCTTGGAGCATGTCAGGGGGTAACGCGCGTTCAGCGAGGCGTACTCGCCAGGCCATTGAACTATCTTCAAATGTATCAAGAGTGGAGATGAGAGAACGCAGTTGGTTCAAAAATGCCATTATGTCTTTCGCTGATTTGGTTTTCGGTCCAGGTATATCGATTAACGCGTCGATCGTTCGAGCTAATAGTATACGTGGTACGTCAAACTCTTTCAGTAAAGCTCCCCACGCATCCTTATATTTTTCCCCGGTTAGTTGATAGTGTTGGATAATTTGGAGGGCCTCGCCGCAAAGGGCGTTGCGGAGGTATACGTGCTTCTCTAAATCCGACATGTCACTGCGCGCGTCTACGAGCGTTAAGAAGCAAGATTTGAAAGAGATCCATTTTCCTATGTCTCCGTCGAATCGCGGGATCAAGCGCCATATTTGTATTTGCTCATCGCGAGTCTTCGTAGTATCGTTGTCTTCGTTAGAGTTGCTAGTGTTGTTAACCGCGGCCGCATCGCTCGATTCAATTATGTCTCCGATCGCGAAGTATCTCTCTACAATCGGATTTAAACCGTCAACTCCTCCTACTTCGCTAGTGGTAGTAACACATTTTTCATACAATTCTTCATATCTCTGTACTAGCTGGGTGATGCGTTCGTAACGCTTTCTTAATTCCTGTGTGCTTAGATTTCCTTCTTGGATTAAATTTTCGACGTGTGTTAATCGTGATTCTAAAATCTGCCGTTTGTGATTGAGCTGTTTTAGTGATGCCATTATGGACCGATATTAACTATTCTATTCTGCGGAAGATACTCAAATCAATTTATGACAAATACAAAAATCCCTTTGTGAATGAATGAATTGCCGTGCGTTKAGTTCTCAATCACGCGTTTAAGGATCTGTGCTGTGAATCGTTGAAGGGGATATTTATCGCTAGCTGCAGACCGATAGAGGGAGTATACGATTGTCGCTAGCTGTAGACCGATAGAGGGGATATCCGGTTATGACGTCACGGCGTCTCTGTCTTCTAGTCGACCGTTCAAACAAACGAACGCAGCGAAGCGGCGGAGCCGTCGAAAATRCGATCGTTCCTTGTCCGAGGATAAAGCGATTTCCACGAGGTTAAGAACTAACCTAAGCGCACGCACAAATAATTGAATCTACTTATCTCGCTTAAAAATCCTGGCTAGGCTGGACGATGTAGATGTTCGTAAGATGATGCTTCTCGACTTCGTTGTTCTCTAGTCTGTTGGCTCCACGTGGCGATGATCCATTTGCAGTGTCAACCAAAAGTCGGGAATTCGGACCTCACAGGAGGCACCAAAATGTTGGGGCCTTAATTCCTCGATTATGACTCCTCTGGCACTTCGTATGTGCTATGATGTGAAAAGCCTTACGGCATAAAAATCCTGGATGATATTTGTTGAATACAAAAATGAGAATCTACCACGTGGCGTTGCCACGCGGGAAAATTATAGTTCGCGTGAAAAAAATTTATTGTAAAGATCTCACCTCTTGCACGCTTCACGTATGGCGATCACAACCGTAAAGGTTGGGGTGTTCCCTTTGTTGTTCCTTGTGGCTTCTACAGACCTTAGCGGAGATGTATCGTCGTAGGCGTCCAGTGATGAAATACGAAGAAAGTCCTTAAGAACGGGCCCAGCAGGGTGCATGTGGAGGGGATGCGAGAGGTGAGGTTAGTGCTTCGATAGTCGCTTGTAGTTGAGTGATATTCGTTACGAGTATCGATCTAGAATCGTAATCGATAGAATCGGTGGCGCGCATTTCGAATACAGCTAGTTGCCGTACGATCATTTCGGATCGTACATGTATGATATCAGTACTATTGAAGCAGTATATTTACATATGTAAAAACATATGTGTGTATATATATATATATTATTTATAATATATATATATTTTTATATTAATATACTTTTTATTAAAATTATATTAAAATATATTTTATTATTTTAATATATTTAGTTTTTATATATAATTTATATATTTTTTAATTGGATTTAAAAAGTATATATATATACATTTCTACACGAGAAAAATGTGACCTCTTTAAAAATGTGGAATAAGTGTGATAAGGTATACGTAAAAAAAAAATGACTGAGACTCGTAAAAAGACATAATAAAAAGACAATATTTTATTTTATGATTAGAGCATATATATATATAATATCATTCTTGCAATATTTTTTTTTCTTCCAGTCGAAATATTAGACAACTTGATCACGTTAATATTTTGTAACATGTATCGATTGAACATTGGCAATAATTTCGGTATAAGTTATTTTCCTTTATTCACTTAACTACAAAACTTGATAGAAAAAAAAAAATAAAAGAGGAACACCATGAAAAATTTACTCATAAATGTAACAGTGTATTGTATTTTATGTTTATAGGATAGAATTTCAACAAGAAGCAAAAAGATTGGCACGTCTCAACGATCGGAACGTTGGTCGACTGCTCGGTGCCAGTCTTGAGAATGATCCTATGTGTATCGTATTGGAAAATGGTGCTTATGGGGATTTGAATCAGTATCTACAAAATCACATAGCCGAAACTTCAACCGTGCACACTGCCAAGACACTGAGGTAAATATCTCTTACAACAAAAACAACTAAAAAAGTTCATTCATTATTTCAACTCTAATTATATATTTAACGTTCATTACAATCATCAACATTCGTTAACAATTCGTGTAAAAAAAAAAAAAAAAGAAAAGAAAAAATAACAAAAAGTAATATCGTGGAAATGAAATATTAAATTACGTTGATGGAATAGGAAAATATTTTCAACAAAGGGAAACGTAATTAGATTTTTGTAAAGAGAACGTTTTATTTCTTTTTTTTTTTTTTTTATATTTAAACTAAAAGATAATTCCGAAAAATAAAAAATTTATTATTTTATTTTATTTTATTTGTTTTTACTTTTTTCCCCCCAATTATATCTCAAAGGAGATAGAAAACATAAACAAAAGAAAAAAAATTGTAACAGAAACTCAACCGATTTCGATAGAAATGGAACGATCTTGAGTAACTATCTCGTTAATGATTGCAAGAGGTTTTTGAATTATTACTCAGAAAAGTTTACGGTGTGATATTCGATTTTACAGCAATTGGGTATAGTAGTTTCACCAGAAATATATATACCCATGGCGAGTTTTGCCCGTTATCGAACAATTAGCATCGTTTAATGGACAAGTCGTTATTGTGTTTGCTCGCTAGCACCGATTTCGGAACATCGATAGCATTGAAAATCATTAGACATTATATTCTCAACGTTATAACGTGTTGTGCAATGCATTCGCAAATTTGGCCGATTTACTAAAACGATTTTGATCAATTTATTTTCAGTTACCATCAGTTTTCTCTGTATGAATAATAAGTCCAAACATTTATAGAATTATATATAATATTATATATATATATATAAAACATATATGTGTATATACATACATACACACAGACACGCACACACACATCTATATATATATACACAGATAAAAACATGGTTTTAACAAAATTTAATGCTGTACTCGTTGCCGCCCTATATATTTTCTCGAAATCAGCTTAACTCTCACATCCATCGTATTATAATTCACGAAGTGTATATTGACGCGAACAATATTAAAAAACATAACACGTATAGTCTGAATAATCCTTCCTCATTTTTTCTATTTTATCCTTTCGACTGAGCAGAACGCAAAATAAAAATAAAAAAATAATAAAAATAAAAAAATAATAAAAAAAAAAAAATAAAAAAAAACGAAGAAGAAACAAAAAAAAAACAAACAAACGCCGCCCCAGCACAAAATTCATAGATCTAATCCGCAAAACGATTCTCCCTTTCTTGTGTCATTTTTCTTTTTTGTTTTATTTTATATTTTTTTTTATTTTTTTTTTTTTTAATTTTTTTTTTTTTCAACACCACACGAGAGATAGGAAATAATATCGATGGGAAAAATTTTGTGACAACGATCGAGTATACTTCGTCAAATGTTGGTACCCATGAAAAAAAAAAAAAGAAAAGAAGTGGAAGTGGGGCGAGTAATAGAACGATGATTGTCAAACCTCTTTTATAATAAAGCGCGACATTATTTTCAATTATCGTTTTTGAAAGGTAAACTGGAACAATGGAGAACTACACGAGGGTAAAAAAAAAAAAAAAGAAACAAAAACAAAAACCAAAACCAAAAAAGAAGAGGACAAAATACAGGTGGTAAGGGTTGGGATGAGGCGTGCGTGTTTCGGGTGGGGTTAAAAAGAGTGGGGCAAAAAAAAAGCGTGAAGTGCAACGGGAGTCGAATTCGATAGCACTCGAAAGATACGCGAAATCGGCTGAAAATGAGAGGTGAGCGATAGAGAGGATAGCACCAGTCCCCGTTGTTGGTGCACGTGACAGTTGTCGACGACGACGAGACAACACGCATTTTTTTCGTAACTCCTGTTCCACACGGATTTGCCGAACAAGTTTCCGTCTCTCGTCCATTCGACATATGTACGTATGTCCCATTCCCCTTCCCCTCTCTTCCCTTCCTTCTCCCAACCAACTCACCCCCATCAGAACGTACATATTCACCTAACTATAAAGTATTACGAATTATTTACGTTGCAACGTAAATAATACGTCGTCGTATTAACAACGAACAAATTGTGAATCCAATTAAAATCTGAAAATTGATATATTCATTGAAATAAAGAAAAAAAAAAAGAAAGAAAAAAAAGATGACGATAAAATTGTTTCAAAATGGGAAGTAGAAAAAAAATGCAATTAAGGATTTTACTTTTATCAAAATCTAAACATATTGATCGTAAATTAATAAAATTCTTTGTAAGAATTAGCTAGTTAATTTAAGTAAATCAAATGTCATGTTAAGAGTTAGAAGATGTTATATCTGTCGAGTGAACACCATAGTTAATTCACGTGATGTTTCACACCGAACAAGTTCGGTAGTTATAACTGTTACTGAACTTGTTGTTAGTTCAGTAACAGGAAAGCGCAATAAGAAAGACAATTAATTTAACTATTAGTATGTTACAAGATTGAATATATATATATATATATACAATAATAAAACATGAACGATGTTCATAATAATCTAGAAGAGAAAGACAACGATCTATTTATCTATCTATCTATCTATCTATTTATCTCTCTAACGATATCCGTTGAACAGCCCACCAACACTTGTCTATGTATTATATCGTTAGTGTATATCCGCAATATAACCGATGCAAACGACTTAACCTTATACATAGTTTCTCGTGGCAAATTCAATGACGGCAACAACCGCTTGTTCTTCGTGTTCTAGTTTCGGCACGTTGGTTTACATGGCCACGCAAATAGCATCTGGCATGAAGTACTTGGAGGAAATGGACTTCGTGCATCGGGATCTAGCCACAAGGTAACGACACAATACCTACCTCTCGCGAGATCGTTCGTACAAGCCCTACAAATACGCCCCTCATTTGTCTTTTCCTTCGTCTTTTAATTCTATTCTGGAAATGACCTAAACCCCTCCTACCACCTAACCACCTATTCCTTCCTAGCTAAACCCTGTATCTACCACCTCCCAGTACCCACCAGCAACCCAACAAATGGATCCAATGGAAGATCAACTAACGAGAAAGTAACGTTTTAAACGTTAAGCAAAATTAGTTGGCTTCTATGTTTCTTCGACCCTTCTTGTTTTACTATATTTTCAACCCCTTTCGGTCTTTAAGGTCGCATCAAGGGTTTAACCAAGCTGGCACAAAGTCATTAAATTCAAGAACGGATTTGCTTGCGCGTCACAAGGCGGCGACGCACTATACGTCACGTGTTGAAATTATTAACTCTGATCATAAACCTTGATCATAACGCCTTTGTCAGGAAACTTGGCTCAATATTAAGACGTACTCACGGAACCCAAACCTCCAACTCAAAGTATCCGGAATATAAAGTTCCATTAGTCTCTAATTTATTGAAACAAATTCTTGCCCAAATTATCGGATAAGATATCAAATAACAGGGAAGGGAAACTCTACTACTATTATTATTATTATTGTTGTTGTTGTTGTGTTGTTGTTGTTTCATTTTTCTTTACTCTCTTGAAATTAATCTCAAAGATTTTCAAAACTTTTCTCTTCTCACCTGTTACATTCAACATTATTATTTTCATTATTCAAGAGTACAAAAGAAATCAAGAAATTTATTCTAACTATTATAATACGTAACTCTTAAAATAAATAAATAAATAAATAAATAAATAAATAATATATCAAATATAATACACGTCAAAGTAAGTACCATTTTATGTGAAAAGGAGAAACAATATAAAGCTTTACGTTATTTAAAATCATTTTAAATTCCATATAACTCTGAGATGTTAAGTAGGTGTCAATAAAGGATTTATCTAGCGCACTTCTACGAAAATCTGACAATGAGTGAAAGGAAACGAAAGGAAAGGAAGAAAGGAAAAATTCAGAATTTGTCTGATTTTGATATTTTCACGAGTAGAAAAAGTTGAGAGTAAATCTGGTAGAAGGTAAATTGTGAAAGAGAGAGAAAGAATGGTACTGTACTGAGAATGTATTATGTTCGTGAAAGTATGAAATAAAAACATGGAACAGTGGAATGACTGGGTGATGGGAGTACCTAGTAAATCTCTCTTTCTCTCTCTCTCTCTCTCTCTCTCTTTCTCTCCTTTTCTTTTTCTCTTTTGCTATCTTCTTTCCTTCCTTCCTTCCTTCCTTCCTTCCTTCCTTCCGAAATAGGCGAGACGATAAACGACCTGGATTTTACGTTGCAAATCAGGAAAGAAACTTTTGAACGACGACGTAAAGGCTGTCTCGAGAGTTCGTTTCATCGAGTTCTCTAAATCCTGGAAAAAAGAATTATTGGAAGAAAAATCCTCGTTCTCTTTCTTCCTTTCTTTCTTTCTTTCTTTCTAGATAAGTTTCGTAAACGTTTCTTATGGAGATTTTTCTTTCCTTATCCCCTTATTTTCCATTCGCAAAATCGAAAATAAAAATAAATGTAAAATAAGATGAGACAAGATTTTGTTTTTCTTTTTTTTTAAATAGAAATAATATGCTTGTAACCTATTTTCTTTTTCTTGTGTTTTTTTTTTTTTTCTTTTTTTGATTTCTTCTTTATTTTACAGAAATTGTTTGGTATGTACAAATTATACCATCAAGATATCAGACTTGGGTACTGGAAGGAACGCATACGCGGCCGATTATTTCCGAATCGAAGGCCGACCACCTTTACCCATAAGATGGATGGCTTGGGAATCCATGTTGATGGTAAGATTGTACAAATTATTATGAATAATTGATTAGATTATTTCGCAACAGATGTATTTCCTTCTTTCTTTTTTTGTTTTACACTTAATAGTAACGTTTAATCGAAAAATAATTCCACGAATATTCGCATGAATTTGTTTTTTTTTTTTTTTTTTTTTTACCTAACGATAACAAAATATACGTGGGATTCACTCGTTAGTAGAAACCAAAAGTATTTAACGAAGAGAGAAAAAGAGAGAGAAAGAGGGTAGGAAAAAAAGAAGATAAAAAAAACACACACACAAAATAGAAAGAGCCGATCGGGCGAGAACGACTTTATATATCCCGCGATGCGAAAGGTGGAAAAAGAGTAGAAGCAGAAGTAGTAGTAGTAATAGTAATAGTAGTAGTAGTAGTAGTAGTAGTAGTAGTAGTAGTAGTAGTAGTCCAGTTATATAAAACGGGTTGAGAGCAGTTTTGATTTCATTCCAGCGTTACGGAGGTGTGCTTTCGGCGAATTGTGAATACGTATATATATATATAGGTGGTATATATATATATATATCTATGTACCTACCTATCTATCTATTTTCGTATTCTCGATGAAATTTGGTTTACTTTGAATATTTTTTTCACTCAATGTTATTTTCCTCAAAGTGGGGACAAAACTTTTGAAAAAATCAAACGCAAGTCCCATAAGCAAACGGAAAACTATTGCTTAGAGGATCGTTTTGTCGATATCTCGATTTCGATGGTTATTATATCAGACGATCGTGACGATTAAAAATAACGACGTAGAGCTACGTGAATTTGAACTATAGATTCGATTTTTCTACGTCGCGTATCCTTCCTTTTTTTTTTTTTTTTTTTGTATCCTCCCCAAAGTCCAATCCCGTTTCGTTAATCGTCCAAGCGAAATATATGTACGTGCGACAAATCGAACGTTATTTTTTAACATATCGACGAATATGAATACGAAAGGATCTAGAAAATATGATGGTGGAACGCGTTAACGATTGTTCGATGACGATTAAAAAGTACAAAACGTGACGGACTATTTAACACGGTTTTACGTATAATTGTTGATTGATTAAAAATAAAACAAAACAAAGAAAGATATATCACTTTCGCTAACGATCGAATAATTTACAATAATAAGGGTAACATTGAAAGAAAGAAAAAATAGGGAACGCGTATAAATGAAATTCGTGTAAATATTTTACAAAAAAAAAAAAAAAAGAAAAATCTATTAATTGAATATTTATCACTCGTCGTACGTTGTGTCGATGTGTATGCATTTTATGAAGTAATAATTATTAAAAAAAAAAAAAAAATACAGGAGAAAACAATTTTGATCTACGATCAATGTTCCCTTATAATCAATTATAAGTATTATTTTTAATCAAATTAATTTTCCTTTTTTACGTGAATAAAATAAATCTTGTCAAATGTTACGTAAGACGTATGATCGATAAATTTTGTAAAACGGGGATTTTCATTTCAAGATTTTACCGTCAAAACTATCGGCTATCGCGACGACCTCTTCTATCGGACATTTTACGTGAAAAAGAAAGAGAGAAAAAAACTCGATTGAAACAAAATTTCCAACAATTCCGTCGAACGAAGGGTAGGAAAAAAATTTTGAAGGAGAAGCAAGTAAAAAAAAAAAAAAAACAAAAAACCCCCGTTCATTTTCAAACAGTATCTCGATTTAACTTCAAACCACAAATTTGTATTTTTTTTTTTTTTACTGTCAATTATCGTAAAACATTTAAAAAAAAAAAAAGAAAAAATGTCAATATTTTTTTGTTCAACAAATAAATCTGTTTAATAATAGTTTTCAAATACAAATGCATCGTGTCACATGAAACGTTGGAAATTCTTTCTGTAATTTTTTTTTTTTTTTTTTTTTATCACCATTCTGTGTCACCCTCATTTCTTTTTCAACGTTTCATATTTATCATATTTCTGTTCGCCGACTTATCCCACAGTCTATAAAAGTAAAAGAATAAAAATTGAAATAAAGACAAAGAAAAAGAAAAAAAAAGAAAAATTGAAATAAAACCAATAAGATAAAAATAAATATAAAAATAGAAGACGAGTGGCGAACGACCAACCAAATGTAAAGTTCGGAGTAGTTTAATTTGANCGACTTATCCCACAGTCTATAAAAGTAAAAGAATAAAAATTGAAATAAAGACAAAGAAAAAGAAAAAAAAAGAAAAATTGAAATAAAACCAATAAAAAAAAAAAAAAAAAAAAAAAAAAAAATAAAGTAAAAAATAGAAAATATATTCACGTATGGTAATAGTAAAATAATAAATGAACGATGTATAATAATAATACTGAAAATAGAAATGGGCAGAAAAACCGTATATATATATATATCGTAGTTTATATTTAATACTTGACCGAACGCTTGAGCTTTTGCAGCCAGTCAGCCAGCCAGCCAGCCAGCCCCATAGTCGTTTAAAATTGACTGCATCATTAATGCTTCATTATTGCTCATCGTTTATCCGAGGCTGCCTATTGTACTGGCGCTAATGAAACGCGTCCGCTTAATACGCTCGAAATATCGCTTCAAGAATTATCTAAAATTAGCGTCGTTTTGATGATTGAACGTTGACTTTATCGCATCCGATACTTTGCTAAAGTAGACGAACGTCCAACGATATGACTTCATAAAGTTTATTAATCCTTTGACAAAAGAACGGAACGTTCTCTCACTCTTTACCCCCTCCACGCTTTACCCTCTCCCCCTCTCATTCCCCCTCCCCTCCCGTTTCCCATGGAAAGCTGAAATATTGCACCCCGCGCAATATCTCGACTTAACGGTGCCTGGCAAACTCGAAAAATCCTTCCAGTCCCATGATTTTTCCTCTCCTGTTTTCTATTAAATCTTTTTCTTTTTTTTCTCTCTCTCTCTTTCTACGTGTAACTTTTGATAAGAAAGAAAGAAAAACAAAAATAGAGTAATGTACGTGTCCATATCCAATCACGATTGAAATATTATTCGTATTATTGTTTGAAAAAATAAAAAATATAATAATAAATTAATTTATATAGAAAATATATTGAAATATTAGAATAAATTTTGAACTTCACGTAATCATTGGCACAAGTATCATTAAAATAATTATAAATATTATGTAATTAGAGTATTCAATATACTTCAAACGATTGTTAAAACATCGAAGCAATCGTGTATATATATATATATTAATATGTATATGTGCCTATAATTATAAAAGTGGTCTATGTCATGTATCTCTTGTTTCGAGATATTTCAAGATTTCTATTTGAACATTATATGAATTCTATGTAATATTGAAATAACAAACATTATCTAACGATTCATTTTTGACAATTTATTGAATTTATTTAGTTTAAAATAATGTGGTGCGTAATAATTAATAAAGTAATTTTTTTTTTAATTTTGACTTAGACCACTTTCATAATTATAGACATATATATGTTGTAGTATAAAAGTTTAGTATATAAATTTGATGTATCCTCCTTTCCGAAGTCCCCCTCTACTACCACCACCACCACCACCATCACCACCACCATCTATTTGGTTAGAATGACTAACTGTTCAAATTCTCTTATTTATTGTGGTTTATATGGCTCTTTGAAGAGACTATATATAAAATACGAAAAAATAATATACCGAATAAATAGAATTTCCTTATTTGGAAAGTCATATAAACAACATTGAATAAAAGAAACTTTCACGAAGGACAACGTGCCAGTTCAACGGTGTATTTCGAAGAGGACAGTACGTCAATATTATATTCCGTGCTTTTAGATTACAATATACATTTTCATTAATTAATTAACATTCATTTACGATATATCGATCACTCTCAAGGTACGTACATCCACACTTATCTTTCTATGAACAAACACATCTCGTAATAACTATCCATCGATGTTTTCTTAGATACATATGTGTACGTACACATATACACAACAGAACTAACACTAGAATCTACCATAATCTTGTTCAAGTGTCGATCGATTATAAATTCTCTCTCTCTCTCTCTCTTTTTTTATTTTCATATAGTTTCATAAAATTTTATCTTTGCAGTTATCTAAGAAGGTTTTATTTTAAAAAATGAAATTTGAAAAATCAATCGATTAAATCTCATCTTAGAATAATTTTTTTTCTCCTTTAACAAATAGCTACGTATATATATAAATTTATAATAATTATATTATAAATATATAATTAATAATTAATTTATTATAAAATATATTATAATATATATATATATATATATAATTATTATTTTAATATATATAATATTATATTACTTTTTAATTTATATATATGTATATTAAGTATAACAACGTTTATATTGGTAATAAAAGAGGGGAAGAAAGAAAATTATGATCTACTATATAAAAAAAAAATGGTATTGCTTTTTATATTAAATAAAAAGCATCTCGTAAAATATGACACGCAATAGCCTTGCGACACTACAAAGCCAATGGCACTAATACGTAAACCATTTTACGAGTTACCCCTTTCCTATACTGAAGCTCTTTGCTTAAACTCCAAGACACTCACGGAGACTTCAAGTTTGCCGAACTAAGAACGCTAGAGAGGGTGAATACAGTTTCCATAATTAACTAAGAAGGGTGTTAGATTTCACGCTACCTTTTAGACACGCGTATTAACATTTTTGCTTCCTTTTTTTTTTTTATTATTATTATTATCTTATATAAATAACATTTATTTTCTTTCGTGTATTTTTTATTTTTTTTTTTTTTTTAGATTAAATTTGATTACATTTTTTGTAACCTTTTTATTTGAATAATTGAATAAAAATGTGTATGTGTTACAAATTATTATTGATACGAGTGTTAATGATAAAAATGTTTTTGATCAAAATAAAAATAAAAGAGTTGTATTAGTTGGAAGAGTACAACTTTGAGATAGAAAATATCGTCAGATAATTTTCTAATGTAAGCGAAGTATATACAAAGAAAATGCGATTTGAAGTGACTAAACACAGGTCGTTTGTGTCTTATGTTTCACGTTAATTAGGGAAGGCACACGTCGAAGAGCGACGTCTGGGCTTTCGCTGTCACGCTCTGGGAAATTTTAACCTTTGCCAGGGAACAACCCTTTGAAGAACTTCCGGATCATCGCGTGGTCGAGAATGCGACGTATTTTTACCAAGAGGATGACAGACGAGTAAGTAAAGAAAAATCATCCTAACATATAAGATAATTCTCTTTTTATCTTTATCTTTATCCTTATCTTTCTTTTAATTTTTTTTTTGTTCTTTGATCAAAAGATACTTTGTATCTCGAACGATATATATATATATATTTTTTTATATTTCTTCACGAACGTCGTAGCTTAACTCGTACCATCTTTTATTTTATCACGAAAAGAAATGAAATTTTTATTGAATATAAAAATGGATGGACAACGAGTATTATTATTAAAGTTATATTATTTATATAGATATAAATATATTATAAAGTTATATAGAGAGTTAAATTTGAAATTATATATAGATATATTTAATCAATAGTAAAATTAAATATTTTTACAAATGTACACCGCGGGTTGTTACTTGATATATTACGATGTAACTCAAAATTGGAATATTCGCAATATCGAATTTCCATATATTTCTAATTAATATTACTAATCCTTTAGAATTATTTTCAATGAAAAGAGAACAAAAAATCAATATAATCTCGTTACTACCAATTGGAAATGAAAATATAACATTTTTTAGATAAGAAAATAATTGATTTCAATATTACATCAGTTCATTAGCATATTAGTGTTAATCAATCTTGAGAATATATATATACATATATATTTATATACAGGATAGATTTAGCAGAAGACGTTCGACAAACGAGTCACATAGGTTTCCCTTTCGACACTTTAACGACAGTTTAGCCAAAGTTGTAGCCGAGCTTTCGGGGACCACCCCTTCGTCTTATCTTTTACAGATGATACTACCACTGCCTAAGAACTGTCCTAAGGAGATCTACGAACTGATGCGTGAGTGTTGGCAACGTAACGACGTAGATCGTCCAAACTTCCGTGAAATACATCTCTTCCTGCAAAGAAAAAATCTTGGTTACAAGCCGAACACCTCTAACGACACTTGATATCGAGAATTGGAAGGCTGGAACCTGATCCGGCTTTCTATGATCGGCGAATTGAACGGAAATTGGTGGAACTGTCCCTCATCGACCAACTTAGAACAAATCGGTCCGAGTTAGTAACCGAATTAGAGATAAAGAGAAACTTCAAATAGAATGGGGGAAAAAAAAAAACAGAAGAATGAGAACCAAAAAAAAGAAAAACAGAAAAAAAAGCTAAAACAAAAATAGTGATTGGTGAAAAAAGGGATGAATGCTTTAGGTTTAACGAGCCGTGAATCGGCACCCTTTTTTCCGATAAAAACGGCCTTCTAATTGCAAAAACTTATAGGCTTTCACGGTCTAAGGGCTAATAGCGTGAGGAGAAAACAAAATAAAGAAAAACAAACAAACAAAGAAAAAGGAAAGGGAAATATAAGAGAGAAGGTATTGGGGGATGGGGGATGGGGGGTGTTAAGGGGAGGAGGCAAACGTAATGTCGTTACCTCTAGTCGTTTTCTTTCTTGAATTATTGCCAATTGGAAGTCCCAAATCCGTGATATCCCAACGATCCTCTTCATGAAACGTCGAAAGGATGAGATAGAAAAAAATAAAAGAAAAAGAAGTCTCATGAAAAAAGTTCAAGACTAGGGAAAAGAATATCGAGCGGATAAGACTGCTTTCCAACCCCCCCACCCGCACCCACTCACAACACCTTTTCTTCTCGTTGGGGGGTTGAGAGATGCGAACAGCTTTGGTGTTTTTGATTTTCCTCTTTTTCCTTTATTTTCTTCTTTTTTTTCATTTCTCTCTCTCTCTCTCTCTCGCGTGTGTTTGCTCTCCTTTCCAGTTAGCCGTTCTTATAAAACTAAATTGAGAAAATGCATCTCAGAAGAGAGAGAGAGAGAGAGAGAGAGAGGGAGAGAGGAAAAACAAAAAAGAAAAAGTTGAACATTTAGGGAATTGCTTATTGAGGTCATAGCAGAGAGATGCAATATACAAAATTTGGACCGAACGGGGTATTTTGGAAGGAAAAGGTACTGTGCATCCGTTCTTGAATGTTTATTTTTAAAACATCGCTGAACAACATTTCGCGTGCATGCAATTTTGTGCTTGTTATCTTTTCTTTTTTTTTTGTTCTTGTTTTTCTTCTTCTTATTTTTAATTCAATTACGTTTTTTTTTTTTTTAAATCTTTTTTTCATCACATTCTTCCGTGCCAATGCGCATCAAATTTATAACTTACCTCTCATTGATTTGTCATCGCACGAAACGTAAAATAAAAGAAATACCAACAAACAAAAAATCAAGTATATGTATAATACGTATACGTAACAAACTGGGCGTAACGTTTCTGCGTGCGTGTGGCAGTTCGATCGGTATTTTATTTATTCTTCTCTGGTAGAAGCACTATATATATATATATATATATATCACATGTATCATTTATCATAGTGAAACTTTCAGATTTGGAGAAATATAATATTATATAGGATGGAATAACACGGTAAGCACAGAGTCGTATACGCATACAGTTATACACATACAGATTCGGTATACGTATGCATACAAAATACATATGTAACATATGTACACATATGTAAGAGTATATCTCTACGGTAAGATGGATGGATAACGATTCTGATCCATAGTGTATCCCCCCTCATACAAAATGAAATCGGCGGTTTCCAGGTGCAAACGATAGGTGGATACACTCGCGTATGTATACACTGTTCGTCCCGAAATTGATACTGTCAGCAAATAAGCTTACGACGACTGCCACCAACGCGATTCTCGTGTCACGTTCGGAATATACGCGAATCGGTCTACGAAATCAGTATAGCATATATCTATAAGGATACATAAGGATTTTCTCACCAAACGAGTTATATCAACTACGAATCGATAGACAATACTTTCTAACTTTTCATAATAATAAACATTGAAATAAATAAATATCTTTTTTTTTACGTTAAATACTATCATCATCATTTTGTTCCTTATTTTTTTTTTTTTTTTCATAATTATTCAAACGCATTAAATTTCACTATTGGCTTTTGTATGTATATTAATCTTTGCTTACCACACTTCGTCCAAAGGACCACCCACCCCCNTCAGTATAGCATATATCTATAAGGATACATAAGGATTTTCTCACCAAACGAGTTATATCAACTACGAATCGATAGACAATACTTTCTAACTTTTCTTAATAATTAACATTGATTTAGATAATCGATACTTTTAATTTATTTACTTGAGTAATATTCGTAGCGTTCTTATTTTTTTTTTTTTTTTTAATCATAATTATTCAAACGCATTAAATTTCACTATTGGCTTTTGTATGTATATTAATCTTTGCTTACCACACTTCGTCCAAAGGACCACCCACCCCCCAGACCTTTTTTGCAACTTGAGTCATTTTTCTCAATTGTTTAACTTTGATAATTTTTTAAACATATTTCAATTTAATTTAAAGCTATAAAATCTATATAGTATTTTTAAGTAAGTATTAAAGAAGTGTCAAAAAAAAAAATGTTGATGTAAATCTATGCAATATAGTTTCTTTTTCATAACGATTTTTCTCGCCCGGGTCCAAAGTACCCGGGTGTGGTAAGCGTGTTACTCCAGGAAAGGGTGGTAAACAAAGACTAATATATATGACATATTAGATAGAAAAAGAAATATCGTTCAAAAATATTAAACTCTATTCGAGAGAAGCTAATGTAAATAGATATAAAGAAAGAAATAGATAAATAGAAAAACGTATAATTGTCAAATATTATTTTATTTCTATTTAACGGTTGTACGCATAATCGAACAATATGTGCATCTCAATTTTTGTTTATTACTTTATCGTGGCTCAAAACTAAATAAGTATTGTACGAATCAAATAATGTATCATTTCGTTATCTATTCCTTTTATTTTTGTTGTTGTTTTTTTTTTTCCCATTGTCTACAATGATTAGTGTTTTTAGCTAATTTGCAGGAACACCGACACTAGAGTATACTATTTTGACGTATACAGTAGATATACACACGAAACATGGATAGGCAGAGAAAGGGCAAGAGCATTTCTATCTCTTTCTCTTGTTCCTCTCTTTTTATCTGTACATAGGCTTGAAATAACACGGAATTATTCCTTTTCTGACAACGGAAAAAGTCAATCAACGGTGACATTCAACGACGAGTAAAAACAGTGGAAACGTGGGAAACGCTCGCTATCCCATGAGATTTATTGCAGAAACGAATTATGTTCTCTATTCGTTTGTTGTCGAACACATACCGTATGATTTTTCGGATTGTCTATTTCTTCTCTTTCGCAAAAGAAGCCTAGATAAACGTTTATCACTTGTTTTATTTTTTTATCCCTTCTTTTTTCTTTTTTTTTTTTTTTTTGATATGGTGTTTTTCTTTTCTTGTTGTAAACTAATTGTCAAATCATTTAATTATTATAACACATATCTAGAAACATATCACGTTGAATGATCCTTGCTTTAAGCATGTTTTTTTTTTTTCAATAACGCAATCATACACTTCATACTATCGCAAAATATGCACTATAAAATTGGCAAATAAATTATTGTTTTTTTTGTTTTTGTTTTAATCATTATTTTCATTCTCTTTCTTTTAGAAATAAAATCATTTCAGTGAAAATTCTTCAAAGTGAACGTTAAAAAAAAGTTTGATCGGTAATCATGATTTTCTGATTAATTTTCTTTCAGTTTGGATCAAGTGTTTTACATTTAAACAAGAAAACAAATAAAACGTCGCAGTTGTAAAGTATAAGAAAATGTTAAAAAAAAATTTGTTGATAAGTTTAACTTTAAAACAAAAACAAAAAAAAAACAAAAAAAAAGCGTTTGAACTTTTCGTCAAGAACGGAGAAGCATTTGTCGAGTATGATTCCCAAAGAGCTTTCCGATGTACAAAAGATAATTCAATTTTAAGGACATTCAAATGTTTTTTTGCAAAAAAAAAAAAAATTAAACAGAATGCAATATTTAAATAATTGATACGTATAAGAAAAAGAGATGGAAATGTATGGAGATACATGATAAGTATAACGATGATAATGATGATGATAATGATGATGATGATGAACTATGATGAACTATTAAATAAACTTAGGATGCGCTTAGCCAAAGTGCATAAATGTTTGACAATACTATTAGAGATTGCAGTATATAAAAAAGAAATTCATAGGATATAGAGCGTAAGGAAGTGTTAAAGTGTTTTAATCGATTAGACAAAACACACACACACACACGCACACACGTGTACACACACGTAAATACACACTTGTTTTAAATGGCGTCCTTTCCAAAAAAAACAATTAATTATTATTATTCGCACAAAATATCAACAATATTAATCGTTTCACAATTTTTTCTTACGTTTTGCTTGGATTTATTAGAAAAATGTATAGAAAAGAGATAATTTGTAAAATCACTTCAACAGTAGATAAGATTATTACACGAATGAAATTATATTAAACATTTGGATTAAATTGAAGATAAATTTGTTTGTTCATTTAATTGCGAATAATAATGAACGAATCGAGGAGAGGGAAGGGATCAGAAAAAAAAAAAACGATGATTGGGCGGACGCGAGGGACCTGACATTTTTTTTTTGTTAGTTTCAATATAATTCTACGCGTGACAAATTTATCGTGACAAATACTTTTCCACCTTGTAATAAACAATCATTAGGATTTTTTTTTTTTTATAATACCTTTCGTTCAATTATTCATAATCTTCTATTATTAATATTTATCATCGAAAATTACAACAACAACAAAAAAACAAAAAAAAAGGTTTAATTTCAAAATAATTCTCATTACTAACGCATTTAAATATATAAGAGCCAAACACACTCTAACTATAATAATAAATAATTAAATAAATAAATAAATAAATAAAAATTGTAGAAAAGTATTTGCCGGAATAAATGAATGACTGTTAACGTAATTTCCAAAAAGAGGCTATCTATAGTCCTGTTCACGAAAGATGATTTAAAAAATAAAATAAAATAAATAAATAAAAGGAAAAAAAAATAAGCAAATCTATAAAGAGAAAGAAAGATGTGAGAATCGAAATGTTGGTTTTAACATACACGACGTGTTATGTATGTGTCAGTCTGTATGTCAGTATGCGTGTAATAATGTGTGTGTGTGAATTAACGTGCGAATGAACATCGGTGGAGGAGCCTGGCGAGAGGATAGACATGAACCCATTAGACGTGTATAATTATAGTATAATAATATAATATTATAATAAACGTTCAATATAGGTTAAGCCCGATGACATGTCGCGACATGTTAAACTGAACATAAAAATTCATTAATCGAATGATGATAGGCATTGATCATTTGATATAAATATATATATATTCATTACTACCCCCTCCTCTCCCATTGGCTCCTTACGATAATGCTTTGGCTATGATTGCGAGCTTTATTGTCGAAATTGAGATTTAACTAAATGAAGAAAAATTCTATCGAAGAGTATCGAGTAATATGATATTATTATTACTATTATTATTAATATTATTATTATTACTATTACTATTACTATTATTATTATAGATATATATATATATATATATATACATACATACATACTATTAATTAAAATTATATATGTATATATTATATATGTGTATAGTGTTTTATAATATAAATATATATAGTGTGTTAATGATCTCGATGCAACTATTAACACGTAAGTAATTTAACAAAACGATTAGACATTAAGTGTTAACGTATACTTCTATATATAATACTTGTTGAGAAAAAAGAAGAAGAAGAAGAAGAATAAGAAGTTTAAGGAATAAATAATAAATCGTTCCAATTAACACGTTGACTGGTCACGTTAATTTTCCATAGAAAAAAATATTAAAAATATAATTCTATTAATTAGATAGAAAAACGATATAGTAACACCGGTGTCACAAATGACCCTTTAGATAGCCTTCCCCCCTTCTCTCTCTCTCTCTCTCTCTCTCTCTCTCTCTCTCTCTTCAATTAATGGAATAAACGTCGACCACAAGTGACCCACATTGCAGTCAACGTGTTAAAAAAAAAAAAAAAAAAGGAAAAATAAGGGAAAAACTATAAAATGATTATGAAAACCATTACCACGATGACGATGACGATGACGACAATGACGACGCAGGACGTTAATACGCACACATATTTCTTCCTAACGAATAAACAAAAACAAAACATAAAAAAAAAAACAAAAATATCATTCAATGTGTTTTGTCATTGAATTTTTTCGATTAACTTAACAGTGTGTATATAATAAATTACATAACATGTATGTATATGGTATGTGTAATTAAGCGTTTCGCAGATACTATTACGTATGTAATATTTAAATAATCGCGAGAAACACCACCCCCCCCTTCTCTTCTCCTCCTCCTCCTCCTCCTCCTCCTAACCTGTGGATAAATAAGTTTAGCATGTACGCTTAATTATAGAAAACAAAATGGGGGAGGGGAGGGGAGGGGGTGAGGTTATACATTATCAAGGATTAAAACCTATGGGAATTGAGCGTAATTAAAAAAAAAAAAAAAACAATTATCCTGGTGGGACGTTTTAAAATTAAATGAACATGGAAATTAAAAAAAAACCCCCCCAAAAAAAAAAACAAAAGATCCAAAAAATAAGCCGTACGCGTAATGCCAACGCTCTCTCTCTCTCTCTATCTCTCTTTTTCTCTATTTCCTATCTTTTTTTATCTATCTATCCATCTCTCTCTCTCTCTCTCTCTCTCTCTCTTTCTCTTTTTCTATCTCTGTTTATCTCATAGAGAAAGACTTTATACGATTTGTAATAAACGAAATAACGTTTGCGTCGGTGTGCGCGAGATTTCATACGAAGTTATAATTTGGTCAGTTTGGTATGTAACTTTATATAGTTATATATATATATATATCTACGTATACACACATACAAGAGTTCGCGTTATATAAGAGGAA